CATCTGCGGGTTTTGTGGCACGGCGTTGGTGGGCACAGTGGTGTGGCAGCTGGTCGAGCCATGGGATGCCGTGATTGGAGGTGTTGTAGGCCCGGCGTTGGGGTTGCTGGAGGCCTGGCGTCGGGAGGCGTTGAGTGCAAAGCTTCGGGAGGTGATGAGGGCCCGGCGTCAGGAGGTGTTGAGGGCCCGGCATCAGAAGGTGTTGAGGGCCCGGCGTCAGAAGGTGTTGAGGGCCCGGCGTCGGGAGGTGGTGCAGGCCCATGTCCGGAATGGGCTAGGCGTTGGTGGGCTCCTCCGTCAGATGGAGCGGGGCTCAGGGATGTACGTTTCAGAGGCACGGTTGAGAGGAGCACGGTGGGGAGGAGATTTGGCAGCGGTGGCTTCCCCACTCGGGGCCGGTGGCGGCAAACCCTCTTTGTGGCAGCGGGGGCAGTTGCTGCTTCCTTCGATCTGCGGGACTCGGAGCAGGGCGTTGCAGCAACAATTTTATAATTATTTAATAATTATTATTAGTATTATAGTAGTAGTATTATAGTAATTATATAGCGCCAACAGTTTGCTCAGTGATGTACATTACAATGGGAGACAGTACAGTAACAATACAGTGCAATACACAAGGGTTCGAGGGCCCTGCTCCTTGGAGCTTACAATCTAGGAGGGAGGGGATAGTGGTACTGGAGGAGGTGGCTGTGGGGGATGGAGTGGTAGGAAGAGTGGAGGAGATCTGCAATTAAGTGAGGGCGGGGTAGGCTTCCCTGAAGAGATGGGTTTTCAGGCTGCGCCTAAAGGTGTGGAGGGTAGGTGAAAGTCTGATGGATTGGGGTAGTGAGTTCCAAAGGATGGATTATATATATTAATATTATATATTTTAATTATGATGACAATTATACATTAATAATAGAAAATAATAGAAAATGCTTTCAGTGTGAGACTCTGGGAAAATGACATCTTATTCCAGGGACTGATCTTATCCGCCTTCCTTTAGTTGTGATGAGTTTCTTCTGTTTACTCCGTTCAATATTTACCAAATAACGATCCTCCCAACTGAAAGGGAACAGATCTCATCACCTCCTTCACACTCCACGTAGAAAAAAAAAGATATTTTACTATCTGAAGGAAACGTCTATAACTGTCATTGGATCAACTTTATTATTATACATATAACTTTATATTATTATAACTTTCTAATTGCTTCATTCAAATCTCCCGCCGGAATTCTGTGAAATCACAGACAATCCGCCCTCTTACCGCCAAATATGATACGGAGAACCGACCACATCCATTTACCGTTTTATCTGGGAAGATCGATCAACCCTTCCATTCATTCCAGGCTCTGCGATCAGCCAAAAATCATTATAAGCATATTGCAAATATTCATATAAAGAACGTTTATTAAGATTTATGTTTTCCCTCCAATCCCTCAGAATACAAAACCCGACAAGATCTAGTTATTAGTTTGTTGATTTAGTTGTAGAGAAGAGATCAATGAAAAGTCTACAGAACAAGAAAACACTTCCTGCACTAGAAACATCGACACCGAGATCTCCGGATACATTTCTATGGACTTCTCGTCAGACAAACATTACTGGCTGATGGAGACAACGCCCACATCTGTGATTGGCTCAGAATCCGAATTCTCACCGCAGGGATTGTTGTTTATCGTTCCAGAGAAATATTCCGCCCGATTATACCGCCAAATCCGAGCCGGAGAACAAAGGAGATCATCAGATGAGACACATTTATCGGCGAACAATCACCAACACTTTCATTCCAAGTAGATTTATCGATTAGTCAGGAATGTCTACAAATGTATTTCTGATGATTACTGAATCGTGTGAAACATTTCTATAAAGAATTGTACATTGCAATATCAGATCTGTATACGATCATGTCACAATGACCGATGTGTGTTTGTCTCTCTTTTAGACACGTAGCAGTCACTGACCCCCCCCCCCCCCCATATCACATTCAGAATATTGATAATACGAAATGTGAAATGACTGGTAGAAATAAGTAGTGATCATGACACTGCCAGATACATATGTACAATGAATCGGTAGAAATAATATAACGTCTGAAGAACCAAATCGGTTTCCTCGTTGTAACTAGAAATCAGTAAAATGTTTACAAATTTCTAAGTGATATTCTCTGCAGAGGAATGCATTGCTGTGGCCCCGCCCATTTTCTTCCATCTCCCATCAGGTCCGCTGGATTTATAAACAGACACGTGGATTATCAGTATAAGTAAGTTTTCCTTTTCACGGTAATATTTTATACATTTGACATTATTATAAACAAAAGTAACTGGTGATGATGGTTTGTGTTCTGAAATGTGAAAGATGAATGTTTCTGTGTAATCTCCGAGGAATAAATAGAAAACCATTGAGAAGAATGAAGAGATTTCTCTCCTGGAGATATATTTCTATTGTCATTAAGGGATCTGAAAAGGGCAGAACGTGGAGAAAGCTTCTAAATGAATCCAATTGTATTGTGTGTAAAGAATGGTTGTGACTCCGCCTCTTACCAGGAGGGTTCCCATCAGGTCCGCTCAGGCTGTATAAAAGGAAGGCGGGCCCAGCCCAGAGCTCAGTCTGTGTTTGCAGCAGAGAAGAATCGTCATGTCTGGTCGCGGTAAAGGAGGGAAGGGTCTGGGGAAAGGCGGCGCCAAGCGCCACAGGAAGGTGCTCCGGGACAACATCCAGGGCATCACCAAACCCGCCATCCGCCGTTTGGCCCGCAGAGGGGGAGTCAAGCGCATCTCCGGCCTCATCTATGAGGAGACCCGCGGAGTGCTGAAAGTCTTCCTGGAGAATGTCATCCGCGATGCCGTCACCTACACCGAGCACGCCAAGAGGAAGACCGTCACCGCCATGGATGTCGTCTATGCTCTCAAACGGCAGGGACGCACTCTCTACGGATTCGGAGGATAAATCCTCACAACTGCTCCCCCTTCATCGTCACAAAGGCCCTTCTCAGGGCCGCCCACCTTCTCATACAAAGGGCTATTGATTGATCATCTCCAGGGTTCTATCTGCTCCTCCTGGGGGGAGAAGGATTGCCGCTCATTCCAGGGGGGGGGGGGGGTGATTAAACTATCCGTTAGTCATTCTATATAACAGGATGACGTCATGTATAGAGATATAATTCTGCAGTTCCACCAATGAATCTGTCCAATCACCTGATTATAGTGTGTGATCAGTAATCGGGATGGATCTGGTTCGGAATGCCGGATTTTGCATTCTAAGGTCTGAGGACAAACATGTCGGTGATCGCAATGCGCTTGTAACGATTGTGGCCAATCAGCCTCGAATAATGAAAGGGTTAATGGATGTTCATACAAAGAGAAACACATTTGATTCTTCAGATATGTAATATTTCCTCTATCGATTCATTGTACATATTTCTTTCAATATTCTGGATGTGATATGGGGGGGGGGGGGGTTTTGTAATTGCTAAAAGTCTGACGGAAGGACAAATACATATATCTGATGAAGAATCGTACAATACTTTATTCCCATCATATAGAAAGGTAGAGATCTATCTCACTCATGTTCTGTATGTTGGGGGAGGGGAATCCTGGATTCTGAGAATGGATACAAGACAATATATGGAAGTAATCATCAGAATCCATTTCTAGTCATTGTGATTTAGTCCGCAAACACATTGGATATAGAGGATCCTGGGGACAGAGATAACAGAACAAGGATTGACATGACTCAGTAATCACCGACATCCATCTGTAGACATTCCTGACTAATCAATACATCTACTTGGAATGAGAGCGATGATATTTGTCGGATAAATGTCTCATCTGATGATCTCCTTTGTTCTCCGGCTCGGATTTGGCGGTATAATCGGGCGGAATATTTGTAACGATCCAGACAATTCCGGCGGGAAAAATTTGATGACGGTTTGAACTCTGAGCCAATCACAGCTGTGGGCGGTTCCTTCATCAGCCAGTAATGTTCTCCTTACGAGAAATCCATAGAAATGTATCCGGCTTTTGTATTATGAGAGGGAAAGCTGAATTCCAAAGTGGAGCCAACAGACAGTTCTGGGCGATTCCTTCAGATAATAAAACATTTGTTTTTCTTCTCGGAGTTTGATGAGATCTGTTCCCTCAGTCGGGGAGGATCGTTCGTTCGGTATATATTGAACGATCTCAGATCTTCAGGAGAAACTCCTCACAAGTGAAAGGTGGAGATCAGTCCCCGGACTCCGATGTCCATTTCCTGGAAATCATCACACTGAAATCATTTGTATTATTAATTGTATGAACCTTCATAATTGTCATAATGAAATGTAACATTTATAATGTACTCTACATAGATGGATTGTCCAATCACGTGATGGCAGGATATTAGACTTGAGGGGGGTCATCCCTCCCCAGGACTTGGTGTCCTATCACCTCCCCGGGAGATAGAGAGGAGTGTGGGATTGGTGTCCATAGAAGCCGTATGTCCGCCCTTTGTATGGAGATGTGGGGGGCTCTGAGAAGAGCCGTTGTGTTGGCGGATAGAAGGGAATCCTGTGGGGGGATTACTTGCTCTTGGCGGCCTTGTGGCTCTCGGTCTTCTTGGGCAGCAGCACGGCCTGGATGTTGGGCAGGACTCCTCCCTGGGCGATGGTGACGCCGCCCAGCAGCTTGTTGAGCTCCTCGTCGTTGCGGACAGCCAGCTGGAGGTGTCGGGGGATGATGCGGGTCTTCTTGTTGTCTCGGGCGGCGTTGCCGGCCAGCTCCAGGATCTCAGCCGTCAGATACTCCAGGACGGCGGCCAGATAGACGGGAGCTCCGGCCCCGACCCGCTCGGCATAGTTGCCCTTCCGGAGCAGACGGTGAACACGACCGACGGGGAACTGCAGACCGGCCCGGGACGATCGGGTCTTGGCCTTAGCCCGAGTCTTGCCTCCTTGTTTGCCGCGACCAGACATGATTGGATGACTGACGAATCACACACAGATAGGCCCCAGCAGCCGCTTCCTCTCCTTTATACACTCCATGCTCTGACGTCACACGCTGGGATTGGTTGCTTTTCAGTACAGCCAATAGTGGTCAGACTTGTTTCTACACCAATCTGTGCTAGAGGAAAGAAAGCATGACGTCACTCTCCATCACATGACTGAGTCCTCCAATAGAAGAGTGAGGAGGGATGAGGCTCCTTTGCATAGGCCGCCTATAAAAGCAGCACATGAGGGCGGCTCCAGCACACTTTCCCCGCAGCCAGCCAAGCAGTGGTGAACCCTGATCATGCCTGAACCAGCCAAGTCTGCGCCGGCGCCCAAGAAGGGCTCCAAGAAAGCCGTGACTAAGACCCAGAAGAAGACGGCAAGAAGCGGAGGAAGACTAGGAAGGAGAGTTATGCCATCTACGTGTACAAGGTGCTCAAGCAGGTCCACCCCGACACCGGCATCTCGTCCAAGGCCATGAGCATCATGAACTCCTTCGTCAATGACATCTTCGAGCGCATCGCCGGCGAAGCTTCCCGCCTGGCTCATTACAACAAGCGCTCCACCATCACCTCCCGGGAGATCCAGACCGCCGTCCGCCTCCTCCTGCCCGGAGAGCTGGCCAAGCACGCCGTCTCCGAGGGCACCAAGGCCGTCACCAAGTACACCAGCGCCAAGTAATCCCCCCGCCCCCCGGGGCCCCATCATCCCAACAAGGACACAAAGGCTCTTCTAAGAGCCGCCCACCATTCCAATCACTGAGCTGTCATCACATTGTATTGCCGCTAGAGGTCCCCACACGTCACACTTACACTGGACATTCGTCATTCTGTAGTACAAGGGCCTCCCTCATTGGATACACATTGGAGGGGCACCCTGGTTTGGGGGAATCTACAGGAAGGTTGTAGAATGTATGGCCGGCCTTCCATGGGTCATGACATCGGTCATTGTTGTACAATCTGATTGGAAGGTATAAATCTGAAGATGTATTCTAGGTACAAGAAATCCATCCGAGTCCCACATTCCCCTTATTCCGGAATTTCTGATGTTTTCCCTCTTGGAGATGTAAAGGTTCTCATTTGTACATTAAATATTGTCTGCTAGTGGGAGCCGGAAAATAAACCGCCCGATCGCATTGTATATCTTCCCCGATACAGAAGTCAGTATTTCCCATCCTATGGAGGGCGATCCTATAGTATCCAGGAATATAGATCTATAGGGGTCATGGGGGGGACAGGTTCGCTTTGTGTTTGATGACATATGTAGGACTATGCACAGAGCAGGCTCATGTCTGGAGACGTGTATACAGGGGGATGCTGCTGGGGGATGGGGGACATTGTCAGTATACAGGGGGATGCTGCTGGGGGATGGGGGACATTGTCAGTATACAGGGGGATGCTGCTGGGGGAGGGGGGGGACATTGTCATTGCTGCAGGGGGACATATATACAGGGGATGCTGCTCAGTATACAGGGGGATGGGGGACATTGTCAGTATACAGGGGGATGCTGCTGCTGGGGGATTGGGGACATTGTCAGTATACAGGGGGATGCTGCTGGGGGATGGGGGACATTGTCAGGATGGGGACTTCTGGACACACTTGGACTAGTTTAGGGCTCATCTGCTTCCAGTTATTACTGACACACATCCCTGTCATTTGTCTCCCTTTTGTCATACATTCCTGGGAGTCTAACTATGGGACATATATACACCATCATCCACCCAACTTAAATCGTAGGAAGACACGACTCAGACCATCAGCTGGGCAAACATTGGCTCTTGTTTTATATATATTGTCGGATTTTGTATTATGAGGGTTTTGAGTGATAAAACAAAAAATCTTAATAAATGCGCTTTATATGAATATTTGCTATGTTACGATTTTTGGCTGATATCAGAGCCTGGAATGAATGGAAGGGTTGATCGATCTTCCCAGATAAAACGGTAAATGGATGCGGTCGGTTCTCCGTATCGGATTTGGCGGTAAAGGGCGGATTGTCTGTGACGTCACATAGAATTCCGGCGGGAGATTTGAATGAAGCAATTAGAAAGTTGATCCAATGACAGTTATAGACGTTTCCTTCAGATAGTAAAACATCTTTTTTTTTCTACGTGGAGTGTGAAGGAGGTGATGAGATCTGTTCCCTCAGTCGGGAGGATCGTTGTTCGGTATATATTGAACGATCTCTGATCTTCAGGAGAAACTCATCACAACTAAAGGAAGGCGGATAAGATCAGTCCCTGGAATAAGATGTCATTTCCCCAGAGTCTCACACTGAAAGTATTTTCTATTTAATGTATAATTGTCATAATTAACATGTATAATATATTATAATTTAAATGAAACAATGGTATACATATTTGATAATAACGCATACAAAAAAGTCAGTTATTTTAGATTTTGTAACAACATAATTTGAGGATGATCGACTTGGGGGAAGAGCCACGCCATACATCTACTATGGTCGATTACTGATTTTCTCCTTTTTCCTATCTCCTGATTTTCCTCTCTGAGACTGAATCAGTTGATAAAGAGGAGGTTTAGAAAACTGTGTTTGGAGATGTGGGTGGCTCTGAGAAGAGCTGTTGTCTTGTGTAACCAAAGTTAATTGTGTTGGGCCGAACACCCCTGTGTTCGGTTTTTGTAGTCGAACCGAATAGATGTTCGACGACGAACTATAAGCTCAATGCAAGTTTATGGGACTCACTTATAAGCCTTCAAAATGGGCACTTTTGAATTTACATGTACGTTTTGGTCCATAAAAGGGGTATGGAGACATGAATCAATGAAAACATTTTTTTCAAAAAGTACAGTTTTAAAGGGGCAGTTATTTTTCATTGTTTAAAGTAAACAAATAAAAATTACTTTAAATATCATGCCTGGGGGTCCCTTTACCCGCAAAGCTGCACATCTGTGAAATGTATAGAACCTGCTGCAGCAGGACTGAAATTTTGTTTGGATTAAATTTTTATTAAAAAAAATAAATAAAAAGCGTGGGGTCCTCCTCTAAGTCTTACCAGACCCTTTAGGTCTGGTAGGAAGGTAAGGAGGCACTCCACAGTAATATATATATATAAAAAAAAAAAAATGTTTAGGCTTTGTAGGTATTTTAAGTGGAACCCCTCCCCTCAAAAAAAAAAAAAATGTGGTGTCCCCCCTAAGTTCTTACTAGACCTTTGATCTGAGCACAGGCCTGGAAGGGAGGGAGGAACAAGGACCTTCCCCAAAACATTGGCCCGGTGGATGTGGGGGACTGCGGGCAAAGGGAGCTTGTTATCAGGGTGGCCATTTAAATAAGGGGTCACCTTGATTATTTGTGAATGAGTAAGGGGTTCTTGTACATCTACCCATTCATGAAAGGGTTAAATGCAGTAAAATAAAATAGACCAATCTTTTTAAAAATGTCTCTAATTTAAACAAAAACAAAACAAATTTTAACAAGTCCTTTAATAATAATTTAGAACAACAATTAAAAATCGCTCCATCATTGTAATTTATTGTCAATCACGGGGACCAGCGTTGTCACAAGGATGCCGACTCACCAAAATTAAAACAAACCAAAAAAAAAAAAAAAGTAGCTAGCGGTGACATCCCCGCCTGCTTTTCCCAATTGTTTGCAGTAAGACAGGTCTGGCAGTTGCTGCTCAGATGTAAGGAGTGCTCGGCGGGTGCGGACAGGTGGGCGGGCGTAGTTTTCTTTTTTTCAATTTTGGCAAGTCGGCATCATCAGGACATCACTGGATGCCGTTATTGACGATGGATTACATCGATGGAAACATTTTTTGTCATGCTGAGGACTTACCCCCCTTCCTGACCACGCCTCTTTTTGTTATTTGGCGCTGCACTATTTCAAC